GGTTCACAAAATTTTGACGATTTTTATGAGCCGCATTTTAAACTACAGTATCAGGTAATAAGCCTAATAAAAAAGATTTCTATGAAAATATTTAGCTGATCTACCAATTTCAACCAAATAATACCTGTCAGTTGTTCGCACAATAGTCTTAAATACTAAAAAACGCTTTTAACCCTCCTAAGAAATGCTGTTTTAAATCAAAAATATGAAATAAATCAAAACAGATTAAAAGATCTTCATTTAATCCCTTATTTTTATTACAAGAAATATTATAGCATTCTTGAAAAAAATTGCTTTCAAATACAGGTTTCTTAAGCGATTAGTGCATAAAAACCAGTCCTTTTCATTCAAAAAAATGCTCATCAAACTATTCAAAATCTTGATTAAAACTCTTTTGAAGAACCAAAAAAAAGCTCATTAAATTCACGGATATCCTGAAACTTTGAAGAAGATCTGATATTTATTTGCGAACTATCTCTCTTTATAGTTTCAAAACAACATAGTCAAACTAAAAAGATTTTGTAAAAAAACTACAATTTTTGCTGCAACAGTGAAGGTATTTATTTATAAATAAAACTTTTACTTTTGAAGTAGAAGCAAGAAGTCGACTACAAGATAAGAAAATGGTTTGTGTTAAATAGTCGAGAAAATCTTCAAAAGATTTGTTTTGGCAATAAAAGAGCATAACAGAGAGAATAATGTTAGGTATTCTCAAAGGCAGTCTCAAAAAGTCAATCGGGCCAAAAAGCAAAAGTAAAAGAGTTTGATAAAGTTTCAACCGATATCGGACGTTAAAAATTTGCTCTTTTAAGTCATTGCAACTAATCTAAGAAGGTTGAAGCTGATATTTTAATTCTGAATTTAAACCGGTTGCATTTTTTAAGATATTTCTTTATTTTTCAGCTGGCAGAAGAGCATACCTCCCACCTCGCTGAAAAACAGTACAGTTGTTGACGGATCACTAGGTCAACATTTTTAACTCAACAGTTTTTGAGAAGCACGTGTGACACAAGTTTTCAGGAAGTTTCCCATAAAAGCACTATTATTACTTCCTCCGTTTGTCTGTTCACAGTAAATAACAAAAAAGCACTAATAAATAGTTTTTGATAAAGTTCAAGAAAAATGCCAATAGCGAAACACAAAGATTAAATAATGATTAAATCACAGCAAGTACTGATTCAAAAAAGCCCGAAAATTGAAAATGAACGAGAGAGAAAAAACATGGTTTTTGATGCGATACTCTTCAGTCTGTTGCAACAAAATTTTTCCTGTAAACATTGCACAAAAATGTATTTAATTATCAAAAATTTCTTGCAATTTTATTTGATACGATATCGTCTTTGAAGAGAACACCGATCAACAGATTCATACAAATAATGAAAAGTCTCTAAAGCTGTTTGCACAAGTTCAAAATTTTTGCGCACAGAATAAGGTATAAATAAAAACATTGTTGACCGACAAGTTTATGTAAAGATAAGTCTTGCCTTGGCTGATTTTATCTTAAACGAATAAAAAATATTTAAATAAAAGAGTTGTTTTTTTACAAACTTTTCTGTTAACATAATATCTCAAAAAAAAAACGAAGCTATTTTTGAAAAATTAGATATGATACGGAAGCAGACTGTGATTATATCAAAAAATAACTTATAATTA